ACTGCCCCCTCCCCTTGCCTACACTAATGCATCTGATCCAGCCAATCAAGGGCTTCTGAAGATGTTAATTAGCTGGAGCAGGTGTGGCAGATTGTGGTCCAAACTACAGTTTACAGGAAAGTAGATCTTCAGGACCAGGTTTGGTGACCACTGACTTTGTGGCCCTCGCCAAAGGCCTCAGTAAGGGCATATAGAGGGTGCTTCTGACCACCATTTTGAATGCCAAAATGACAAATGGGACACACTATGTGTACAATTGTGGACTTTGGGGCCACAAATGTGCTGTTTGTGACTAGGCTTACTTCATTCATCAACATGGAGAAGACTGAAGAATACACAAATGAAATGAAATAAAAGTCTATTGAACTTAAAAAGTCCAGCAACTGCAATTAAAAGAGCTACATGCCAGAAAATGTCCAGATCCACACTAATTAAAAGATTTAAAACAACTGGAGCTGTAGTGAACGTAGAGGAGGAAGATGCATAAACTTTCAAGTATTATGGTTGGAGATTTGCAGAAGATGATAGCATTGTAGGGTCACCAGGTGCTCAAAACTACAATTAGATACAACTTCCAAAGCTTTTTCTTTTATCTTCAAATATGAACATCTAAAGTATGAAACTTTGACTGGAACCAGGTTCTATTGCGAAATGAGATTTTTAGCACCTAAAAATAAGAATAATTCTACAGAAAAGAACCTCATCCCCACTGTTAAGTGTGGTGCAGGATCTGTGAGGTTTCGGAGCTGTTTTTCCTCTTTACGCCATGGAAACCTTGCCAGAATACATGGCATCATTCAGGATACTTTCTCAGATTCCTTGCTGTATATTCTTTGATCTCATTATGGGAGAAGACTCATTGCTGTTATGCTGGTGAAGGGAGGCTGCATGAACTACTTGCAGGGGTGCCAATAATTGTGACACTCCTTAGACTTAATGTGCTTCAATTAAAAAGTACATCTGTTCTCATGTTTTCAATGTGAGATTGTGCTAATTAAGCATTTAGATATTTTCACAACATTTTTTTACCAAGGGTGCCATTAATTATAGAGCTGAATATACACTGCGAACAGCAGTGAATAACATGTATGTGAGAGAATGGAAAGAAAAGTAGTTGCTGTCCTTCACAGTTGATTGCTGTTAAAATATTTTTTCTTGCTTTACTGAAAATAAAAAGAAACTAACAGTGTTGATACTTTTATGTCAGGATTGATTCTCGAAAGAAATGAAAGCGTCAGACATATTAATACTTTGTTTTCAAGCCACCAATCCTTAGAAGAGTGGAGAAGTGGAGGAACGGAAGAGGGAAGATGGCCTGTGGCTGAGGACGGAGGGGTTCTGTCATTGACCCTGTTCTGAGCCCCACGGTGAGGATCCCTCATATCCATTTCCAGCCTCTTTTTGGGTCAGCAGATATGGCACAGCCATTCTGCAGCGTAAGGACTGCGTGACTTTGTCCTGCGCTGCAGCTGTTCTGGAGTTTGAATGCAGCTTGGGGAATAGAGGTGAACAAAAAAAGCTAGGAATAGAAAGGAAGGACGAGAAGAGCGCATGGTGCAACATCTCATTATTACACAATATTAGCATTGTTGCTCGATCACAGATGCCGGTTTGGGGGAAAAACAATTTCATCTCTAATGTGGTCAATTAGCCAAGACTATATATGTATAACAATGGACAAAAGTATGTGAAATGCTATTTGGTTAATGTATGCAAAACGGTCCAGACATGAGCATGTTTACTACTGTGCCAAATCACCTTCCTATTTATTTGGGGACTGAAGACACCAATTAATATAGTTCTGTAAGATGTTTTGCTAATCTTCCATTAAGTCTTTCATTCTCATGTTTTGCCTCTTATAATGCACCATACTTTTTTAATGGGAAACAGGTCTGGATTGCACGTAGGCCGGTCTAATACCTTTACTCTCTGATTACATAGTCATGCTGTTGTAAGACTTGCAGAATGTGGCTTGGAATCCCTGAAAAAGATGTGGTCTTGAAGGCAGCACATCCATCCATCCATCCATCATCTAAACCGCTTATCCTTCTGGGTCGTGGTGGGGTGCTGGAGCCTATCCCAGCTGTCATTGGGCGGAAGGCAGGATACACCCTGGACAGGTCGCCAGTCCATCGCAGGGCGGACAGACAGACACATTCACTCACACACTCACACCTAGGGGCAATTCAGCATGTCCAATTGGCCTGACTGCATGTCTTTGGACTGTGGGAGGAAACCGGAGTACCCGGAGGAAACCCACGCAGACACGGGGAGAACATGCAAACTCCAAGGCAGCACATGTTGCTCCAAAATATCTTTCAGTGTTAATGGTGCCTTCACAGGTCAGAAAGTTGCTCATGCATTAGGCACTAATCATTCTCCCCATTATGGCACACCCTTGCTTTTGAACTTTACACTGGTAACAATTTGGATGGTCCATTTCTTCTTTGGCCCGGAGAAAACAACTTCTATACTTTCCATAAACAAACTTAAAATTTGACTCGTCAGACCACAGCACATGTTTTCAATATGCATCAGTTCATTTCAGATGAGCTTGAGCCCAGAGAAGTCGGCAGCATTTCTGGATACTGTGGACATCTGGTCATTGTTGGGCTCTGTTGTGCATAGTACTGGCTTAACTTGCATTTGTGGATGCAGCAGTAAGTAGTGTTTATTTGACAAAGCATCCCCAAGCTCATCTAAGTGATATCCATCACAGAAGCATGCCAGATTTTAATGCCGTGCCATCTGAAGGATCAAGGGTCATGGGCATTCAGTTGTAGTTTTCGGTCTTGCCCTTTACACATAAAGATTATGCACCACAGAGGGTGGAATACCTAAGTCCTTGCACTTGCTTGTTGAGGAATGCTGTTCTTAATCTGTTGGATCATTTGCCGATACATTTTTTGGGAAAGTGGCAAGCCTTGACCCATCATTGATCTCAAAAGACTAGGCTCTCTTCTGGCTGCTCCTTTAATACCTAAGCACTTGTTTAAGATGTTTTATGTTTTGAACATTTCATAACATTCCTAGTCTTAAGCTTCCTCGTCCTAACTTTTTTGGAATGTGTTGCTGGTATAGATAAGGGAAAATGATCTTTGTCCAACTTTTGCCCTGCTGCAACCTTTCGTACCTGTCATTTTTAGATCCACAGAGATCTTCCATGGTTACAAATGGCACAAACCAGAAAAGCTCTAGACATGAAGAGGCAGCTGCATCACTGCCCTGAATGCTTGGAAGTCTCAGGCTGTCATCATGCGGCTCTGGACTCCTGCGGAGCTAACTGCTGTGGCTGAGAGTCATGATAGAGTAACCTCACCTCTCCATGGAGGACTGAGAGCACTCCGACCTCATCCGCAAGCTTTTACCAGGCCATTCTGAACAGCTAAGCACTTACACGTGCCGGTGCTTGACGCGTAGAGTGGGCGCGTTACATGATGTCTATGGGGATATCTACTTGTCACAATGCATCAAGAGGTGGGAGCGCCTGATCGCCAAGCACAAGCTGACTTATTCATGCCATCTAAATTCAAAAAGATCGGACACTTCCCTTCCCCAAACCCCAAACAATGTATTTTTAAAGGCGACTGAAACAGGCTCCCCCCTGCTGTTTGTGCATCAACACTTTTGGCATGTTGGTGAAACAGGGGTTGGGATATCCTGGGGATAGTTGTAACCCACATTAATGAGATGATGGATCCAGGTTTTGATTGGAGCAGGCAGCACCACAGAGTGGGTAGGGCATTAACAGTTTTATGACTGGTAATGCATTATTCACTGAGGATAGGGAAGCTGGTGTGCTGCAATAAGAATTGCTCACCCTGGGGCAAACAGGAAAACGCAAAGTCGTGTATGAAATGCATTTGGCCGAAGAAGCACAATGGGCTAAAGCTGTCATTCCTATATACATATGAACAGAAAAAGGAAAAAGAACATAAAAAAGAAATAAGCTGGCTTTAAACAGTTGAATGGTTTCTCTGTATCTGTGGGTTGATCTTGGGCCATGTGGCTAAAGTTAAAGTTGATCTAAGAAGAATAATCAAGGCTCAATTTAGCAACTAACATTCCAAGGGACATTGAAATGAGACCTGATTCTAGATCAGCACACATCATCGGTCTTACACATTAGGATTCTCATACAAATTGAGAAGACTTGCCACTTCATATGAAATAATGTCTATATGCCAACAGTACTGTTATGGCCAACAACAAATGGTATTGAAAACTCATCAACATTAATATAGCAAATGATGACTGAAAGCTAGTGGAAGCCAGTTAGCATTTCTTGAAACCTAACAATGTTAATAAGGCCAATGCTGCATGAAAGCTAGTGGAATCCAGTTAACATAGCCTTAATACTCCAAAACATAAATATGGCTAATTATGAATAAAAGCTAGTGAAAACAAGTTGCCATATTCTTGAAACCCAACAACGCTAATTTGGCTAAAGCTGACAAAGCTAGTGGAAATCGTTAACATATTCTTGAAACTCAACACTAATGTGGCTAATGATGAACAAAAGCTGGTGGAAGCAAGTTTTTTTTTAAACCAAACAATGCTAATTTGGCAAAAATTTACTGAAAAAATGGTGGAAATCAATTAGCATATTCTTGAAACTCAACAATATTTTGGCTAATGATGAACAGAAGGTAGCAGAAACTAATTAGCATGTTCTTGAAACTCAACATTAATATGCCTAATGATGAATGAAAACCAGTTGCCTTCTTCTTGAAAGTCAACAATGCTAATTTGGCTAACAATGACTTAAAGCTAATGGAAACCAGTTGGCATGTTCCTCAAACCCAACAGTGCTAATATGGTTAACGTAGAACAAACTCTAGTGAAGAACTGAGCCCATCCTCTTGCTTAATGCTAGCTATCAATAGCTGTAATCGACTGTCCTGGAAGTACCAAACTTTTCCTTGAAATAGGAATGCTGAACTCATACACTCATTTGAGATGAACAAATCCCATTCATTCCTAAGTCCTCAATCTTTTACCTTTCTCAGCACCACTATGCCCTCCTGAGTGTGTTCATCAGTGTAGATGTCAAACATGGAGCTGCTGTCTCCAGGAACAATGCTGTACTCCACTTCTGCATTCTTCCCCAAGTCCAGATCATGTGCTTTAATCCTCCCCACTGAGGACCCGACTGGCGCAGATTCAGGAACCCGCAGGTGAAAGATACCTGTAATGAAAAAAAAAAAGCATGCACATAATATAGAAGGAGGAAACAACCGGCAACAATCCTGTCACTCAGGATAAGACCTAAAGGCCCTCACAATAAGAGCGTGCTCCTAGAGGTAGTTAGCACTAATTATCCACTAATCACTTCAACAGCTCTGCCAGCGAGTGCAAGCATAGCAATCACATTTGCAAAATCCTTCAAAGCTGTTTGTATTTGTGTACAACGAAAACCCCGGCTGTCTTCCTCATGGACAGTTGTGGATCTAAGGCTCTGAGACATGCTGGGTCAGTCTGGAGGAATGATGCTTGCTGTACTCAAGGCCATTACTTGTTAATTACAGCATGCAACAAGCCAAACAACTGCCCTCAGGCATTTTTACGTGTTCACTCATCAGTTGTCAGTTATGTTAATCCTGCCATGAAGCCATCCATGAACAAATTTATTTTTAAGATTTTAAGATTGCAGAGATAAGCTAATGGTAAATTTACAAAATGTTGAAATATTTATTCCAAGTGTCAGGGGGAAAAAATCCCTCCCTAAAAGGCAAAAGGGAGTGTTTTGCAAATACAATCTGTGTTGCTTTAAATACACTTCTGAAGTTGTGCATCATTTTATCATGGGGGTGGGGGGGGGGTCGTTTTTTTTCATTTATAACACTGTTATAACAATGTCCTTCTCAAACGATGGAGCTTATACAACTAAATAAAAGTCTATCACCCTTATGTCAACACCTTAAAATGCCAGGCTTACTTCATTTACCTCATTTATCAAACTGCCTCTGCAAGAACTGTGCATTGGGAATGTCAAGAAATGGGTTTCTATGGTCAAGCAGTTCAATACAAGATCCCCATGCACCATGCCAAGTGTCGGCTGGAGTGTTGTAAAATAGACCACTAGTGGACTCTGGGATGATGATTTATGCTTCACCCTCTGCTTGTCTAATGGACTATTCTGGATTTGGTGGAAGGCAGGAGAAAGCTACCTACTGGAATGCATAGTGTCAACAGCAATGTTTGGTGGAGGAGGGATAATAGTCTTGGGCTGTTTTTTGGATTTGGGCTCAACCTGTTATGTCCACTGAAGGGTAATGTTAATGCTACAGCATACAAATACATTTTAGAGAGTTATATGTTTACAACTTTGTGGCAACAAGGCCCTTTCCTGTTCTAGCATGACTGTGCACAAAGGGAGGTCTATAAAGACGTGGTTTGACCAGTTTGGTGTGGAGGAACTCTATTGCCCTGCACAGAGCTCTGAACAGGAACATTGATTGTGAGTCAGGCTTTCTCATCTAACATGTTAAGTGCTTGACATCACAGACACACTCCAAAAAAGTAAAGGGTGTTGTAACTGTGAAGTGGGGGCAACTCCATATTAATGCCCATATTTTTGAAATGGAATGTCTAACAAGCTCATATAGGTGCGATGATCAAGTGGCCACATACTGTTGATAACATAGTGTATGTCATCAGTATTATGCCACTGTGATGTATACTGAGCTACAAAGTCTATGCTATTTCAGCTTAGTAAGTGTCATGACCCAACAAATGTCAGTCATAAATCAATGTGACCACTAACATGAAAGTTGGCAAATGCAAAATGTATGACAATCAATGCTTACTGGAATAAATGTTAATAAATGTTTATGTACGTCAGTGTTAACTGTCATGAATGACTTTGGTGTGTAGCATGTAGGCTTACAAACACTGCCCTTCGGTAAAGTTTTGCCCAAGGAATTCTGTATTTGAAAGGTTTTTTGGTAACACTTTCTATGGATGTCACCTTTGTAAGCATCTATAAACACATTCATAACATGTTATAATGCATTCATAAGACATTATAAACATAGCTATAAATATTTATAAAAATGCATTTTACGTATAGCCATGTTTATTATGCATTATGAATTGTTAACATAATACATTCTAAGTACTGATCATAACAAATTATAAGAGCTCATAAGTTGTATTTGTCCTCTCTAAGTAAAGTGAAGCGTACTGTACTAAAGCCTCCTCCAGTGTTAAGAGTGAGGCTTCAAGTTGAAGTATTTACTGAAGGATTTACTGAAACACTAAAACATACACAATAAAGCACATTACAGGCTTCAAATGTCAGAGTTTAAACTAGTGCTGCATCAGTGTTTTACCCAATGTGGGAAAGGTAATGTACACCACCGTTAGCTTGGTATTTGTTTTTACTTTACGCTCTCCAAGCTGGGACTGACTTCTTTGGCACTGACATTATAACATGTTATCAACACTACTTACAATACATTATATTAACAATTTATAATGTATAATAAACATGGCTATGAAGTGTAATTCATTTTTATAAATGTTTATAATCATGTTCATAATGCCATATGAATGCATTATAACATGTTATAAATGTGTTTATAGATGCTTACATACTTGACATTCATACTTGAAGGTCATGTTTGTAAGCATCTTGTCAGCTCTAAGTGAGATGTACTGTACTAAAGCCTCCTCCATTATTCTGAGTAAGACTTGAAGTTAAATCATTTACTGAACGATTTACTGAAACACCACAATATACAGAGTACAGCACATTACAAGCTGCTACAAATGTCAGAGTTTGAACCAGTGGTGACACCAGTAGTATTGTACCCAACATGGGGAAGTTAGTGTACACCCACTGTTAGCTTGGTGCTCACTTAACACTGCATATCCAATAGAACAATACTAGAAATTAGCATTACTGTACTGTAGTGTAGTGATGTTATAAAGAGAAGGATTCTAGTGGTTAATGTTAGAACTAGTGACAGCTCTCTACATCATTGCCTATCATGCTCCATGTCTTCACTTCCCAGTAACTTCATGCTCTGTGTGATGTTGTGGGGGTTTTGGGGGGTGCTGATGGCTACTTGTTTTGCCGCAATGTAAATTGAGATTGAGTGAGAGTGGTCACTAAAGGAAAGCACATTGTGGTAATAACTCTGGGCTGGACAACTTGTTTGTGGCATTTGAATATTTAAGACCTAAGCCCTAAAGGTGCAGCCCTAACAACACCCATGGGTGAGAAATAAAATATTTGAAATGCCATGATGTGGCATTTACACTCTGCAAGCTGAGACTGACTTCTTTGGCACTGCCAATATAACATGTTACTAACACTACTTGAAATGCATTATCTTAACAATTCATAATGCGTAATAAATATGGTTATAGGGTTTATAATTATGCTTATAATGCCTTATGAATGCATTATAATATGCTATGAATGTGTTTGTAGATGCTTATAGACATAGTATTTACAGAAAGTGTTACCAACATCACTAATTACACAAAGTTTAGTCTACTACTACCAAAGCAACTTTATCACCAGATTTGGCAAAGCTTGTTAGTTTGAGAATGTCAGTCCTATGAGGTCAATGCAATGTGCAGCAGCAGTCTGCATGTAGCAATATTTGTATTTTGACTAAATAACAACCATGTGATTCAGAAGATCCAGGGATATTTGGAGTGAAAATGTACACAAACTCTATGAACTTGTTTTCTTTTTGTACAGTTATTTACTAGAGATTACATTGATTTTTGAAGACGCTATTTATTAGGCCTTATAGTCAGAAACTGATCACCGATAAATTGGGTGGCTATCAAATTGTACCTATCAACAGATGAGCTATAGTCTGTGATTGTAGACTATAAGGCAGGGATTGATAGGTGGATAGCAAATGTACTGAAACATACTTTTGGCAAATCTAGGTGGGTTGTCATTGACGTCAGTCAGGGTAATGTTGACGATAGTGGTCCCGGCGAGGCCCCCTAGTTGTCCCCCCATATCCTTGGCCTGGATCAACACCTGGTACGTCTCCTTGACCTCCCGGTCCATGTTGGGTAAGGCAATCTTTATCACACCTAAAGCCAGGAAGAAACATTCAAAGATTTAAAAGAGACAGACAGTAGGTGGCGAGGTTACAATTCATGTGGAATTCAATATTCTTTTGATGGTCGTAGCCAAGAAACAGAGATAAGCTTTTTAATAGCCTTCCATTAATCTACGCTCCTAAGGGCAGCCTCATAAAAGGTGAGCATTTGACATTCTGCTAAAGGCTAATCAGCCTTAATAGTTTCTCTCTCAGGGGGAATACCTTTTGATCAGGAGATGCTGGCTTGACACAGGGTCAAGAAAATGCCAGCATAAAAAAGACAGGCTTTGTTTATAGATGCATTTAGAGCCTGGAAGCTTATCCGAAATGCCTCATGCTAACTTTTCATCCATCTCACAGAGACTTATTAACATGGATGGAGACAAATACCAAACTTGCATTATTTCTTTTTTAACCCCTGGGGACCAAGGTTTTATTACACACTTCTATAACCTAAGACTAGCTCAGCCATTATGCACTGAAGTCCCTGTAGTTACTGAATAATAAGCCTTAGTATGTAATAAGCCTGAGAGGTTAAATAAGACACCCAGAAACCAACCTGGCTTTGATGTATTTAGATTATGCAATGGCATGATACTCTGAAAGAGTGCATTATTGGTGCTCATGATGAATATTTTAATCAATTCTGCATTTGAATATTCTCGTTTTTGAACAAGTAGTACTTGGATATACATAGAAAATACAGAAAATGTTTTATACTGTTGTGCATAAAAGGTTTATCATCAGTTTATTGTGCGCAGCAGTGGCTGTGGTGCAACTATCATTGTCTAATGATTGCATGACTGCTCTGTTGCTCTGGCCTGGTCACAATGGTCACATGTAGAGTTAGCATAACCACCATAAGGTGTGATCTGTATCGTGAGGTTAATTTAGTGGGTTTTCTTTTTCTTTTTTTTTTTGTGATCATAGTACCAGTTGACATAACTTTACAACTTTATCATTATTTTATTTCTAGTATTTAACATACATACCACTGTGAAATACCTCTTGGTGTTTGGGGGGTCCTATGTTGACTGGCTACTCCAGCACTGGCTGGCTGCTAACTTACTCGCCATAGCAGCACTGGTGCAACTTTAGTGTCAACAAAATGTTTGGTTAAACAATTTCTCTTTTGGAAATGCTCTTTCTAGTTTGGTAATGAACTTTTTCCTCATCTAATTGAGATCTTACACAACTCCTTTTTTGCTCTCCATTTGGGAAATGATCAATAATTCAGTTTTCCCACCAAACTCTTGGGTAACTGGCCAAGTTTTTGGATTTACAAATATGCTAAGGAATATTGTAAAGTTTTTAGATGTATCCTGGGCTTAGTCAACGTTACGAGGCTATGAAGAACCAACTCAAGCCAATTTGATAGAGCACCACACTGGGGTAGATCAGCGCTCCATCTTTAGTTAGTCAAGAATGCTGAAGTTTGCCAACTGTGGGTGAAGCAGGTTAAACTACAGAGAGCATAACATTATAATAAGTTTATTTTCAGAGACCTCCATTTTGAGACATTCAGGAAGGCCAAAAGGTTGATTAGAGGGTCTCAGACTCACCAGGACCCCTGCATTTCACACCTTGCATACTGCTGCTTTGATGTTACCATTTCACATACTTAACAATTAAAAAACAAGGACATACTGTGTCACTGATGAATAGATGAATTAGAATTTTCTGCCTGTTTTCCTTGTGCTAAACCTGAGTAACTGACCCACATTCGTGCCATTCTTATATCCAAGAATCAGGGGTGGAAGAAATACTCAAAACCCCTACTTTAGTAAAACTAGTTATTTAGTAATAATTTACTTGAGTGCAAGGAAAGGTATAAGTTAAGGAAATTACTAAAGTAAGAGAAAATAAGTAGTTTATTGGAAAACTACCTGAGTAATCAAGTTACATTTTTGTATATATGCAGTCAGAACCTGAAAATATCTTAATCTCTGTGTTCAGCATGCGCACGACAAAAGCCCACCACCCACCTGCAGTCTGATCAGATAGACATCACTGTGTGGGTCAGTAAGACTGAACAGAACGTGAAACACAAATCTGAGTGTGATGGAATCTTTGTCCAGAGGTTATAAGTAACCTGGGTGGTATTCCACGTAGCGAGCTTATAAAACCTGTGCTTATTCGAATTAGCCTCCCTTAAATTAACCTCACTGTGGACTCCAGGCTCAGTGGGTTCCACTAACAGCATCCAGGGGAGACTTGTTTGCACTCATTCAAACCGTGATTCAGTAACTGAGGCTCATGCGTGTGCATGCAATATTCAAACAGACCAGAGAGTTGAGTGCAGAAAATAGCAATATATCAAAAAAAAGCAAAATAATAATCTGAATTTATATTATTTAAAACATTCCTAGATGTTTAGTTTGTTTTAGGCAAGTGAATAGTACTCAGTACAAATAATGCTTACTTGATACTTGATCTAATAGTGTAAAATTCTATGAAAGATTCTATATTACAAAACAAAAACTCTGTACATAGTGTGTTGTAATACTGTCTTGTGTACATCAATTCTCAACTCACAGAACTGGATAAATAATTTATAATTAGACTACATAATTCAAACTTGCAATATTAAATATGAAACTAACTTTTATTTATTGTTCCATTAAAATAATGGAGTTAGAAACAGCATGTGTCAGATACATGGCAGCGGGTGAAGGTAAGACATAAACTCCAGGGGCCAAATTACAGAAACTTCCTCAGGATAGGATTTTTTTTTTACACATTTGTATTACAGAAGCAAATATTATGGTAATAAGACATTATAAACATAGCTAAAAATATTTATAAAAATGCATTATACATTATAGCCATGTTTATTATGCATTATGAAGTGTTAACATAATACATTATAAGTACTGATCATAACAAATTATAAGAGCTCATAAGTTGTATTTGTCCGCTCTAAGTAAAGTGAAGCGTACTGTACTAAAGCCTCCTCCAGTGTTAAGAGTGAGGCTTCAAGTTGAAGTATTTACTGAAGGATTTACTGAAACACTAAAACATTCACAGTAAAGCACATTACAGGCTTCAAATGTCAGAGTTTAAACTAGTGCTGCCACCAGTGTTTTACCCAATGTGGGAAAGGTAATGTACACCACCGTTAGCTTGGTATTTGTCTTTACTTTACGCTCTCCAAGCTGGGACTGACTTCTTTGGCACTGACATTAAAACATGTTATTAACACTATAATGCATTATATTAACAATTCATAATGTATAATAAACATGGCTTTGAAGTGTAATTCAGTGTAATTCGTTTTTTATAAATATTTATAACCATGTTTATAATGCCTTATGAATACATTATAACATGTTAGAAATATATTTATAGATGCTTACAAATGTGACATTCATAGAAAATGTTACCAATATTATCTTCATTTAGGAATTATACTTGATTAAATTTGGCAATCAACTGTCATGTCTGTTACCTAGCAACCAACCATATGCACACAGCTGAAATGTAAACACATGTTCAAAATAATCAAGTTAGTTAGCCAGACAGCTAACGTTAGCTACCGTTACTGATGTAAAATGGGCAAACAAAACTAAAGCACGATAAACTTGAAGTTAAGAATTTTGTATCAGTGCTTCGTGCAGTTTATCAGGACAACATCGCTCTGCAGTTTCAGTTTCCTAAACACTTTAGCTGAGCGAACTAATGTTATTCCTTCTAATAAAAGACACACAGCTCCACATTATTCACCACCCTCACTGTATTATTTATCATAAACATTAATATACAAAGGTATTAAGAGGGGGCGGTGAAGATTGTGTCTAAGACTTTGAGAATCATGTTAAAAAAGACTTTGTATGTAAGTCAAAGCACTGTTTTCAATGTAGATAAATGTAGCATCATTATGCTAGTCATAGTGAACTAACATTATGCTTCCTCTCACTGCATAAAATGTTATAAACGGATCGTTAAAACATGAATCAGGACAGTGATTTTTTTCTAGTTATGATGCTTCTGTAATACTGTTTACTTATCTGGAGTTACGATAAGATGATGAATTTAAAACTGTTGTTCTGCAGTAGCTTCTGTCCTAAATCCAGTCCTAACTGAAGTGGTCATGGCGACTAAACAGGTAAGATTTCAGATTTAAGATGTTTATGTAATTCGACTCCTGAATGGTGAAGTGATATTAATTTTTCTTGTACAAAATATGAATCGATATGCATAGAAACCAAATTATTCACATATTACATCTAACCAAAAGGAAGACTCCTGTTACTGCTTCTGATGATGGGGTGGGGGGTTTCTGTAAAGGGCCTGATTTGATGTGCCATCATTTGAGAAACATCTTACAATGATGGGAAAGTCCTGACTCTCCTGGAGATACATACTCAGTGTTTGTGCATGATGTAATCATCAGAAAACTGTATGATTGTGACATTGTGATGATTGCAATGTTCACCAGAGAGCCTGTAATGTTCAGCGGTACTAATTATCCTCTGATAATGAAGGAACATCCAGGACCAGCAAGAAGAAGCAGATGTTCACATGACTTAAAATCTGCTAAAAAAAATCAGGTGCAACAAAATGATAAAAAAATAAATAAATAAATAAAAAAAAAACTAGAGCTGGAATTTAAGGAAAATATGAGAAAAACATAAGTATAAATTAGTCATTTTAATATGCTCACTTTATATGACATTGTCTTGAGGCTTTATTCTTGCCACAGGCTGAAAAAAAGCACTATTTTTTTTACTTGTTAATAAAATTGCACTTAAAAATCTGTGCAAATTAATTTTAGACAGTGAATCGCTGTCCCTCACAGCTCCACCATCCAAGTGATGTTCAACTGCTTTACAGAAACTTCTTTGCGCCATTCAGCCTACATTATTATTATTCGCACTACATAAAAATGCAGAGGCCTCCTGTGGGGAGATTAAGAGATGCCGCAGGTGGTCAAATCTGGACTATAAATGATTAAGTGCTGATTCTGAACTGGGCGTATGCAGAAAAACACTGCTACCTCCTCACAGTCTGCCAGAAAATACAAACACAAGAGCAAACATTACAATTATACTTACACAGGCAATAACAACTAATATTTGAGGGTCTGTAATGTCTTTACCCTGAATGGACCTCTGATATAAATCACATTTATGCAGTTAAAGACTTTTTATATCTTCTCCATATTGTTTAAATCTCCATGTTTATTAACGCATAATTGTTCATATTTGACTTTTTAATTTAATGTTACTTGTAAAAATGAATTATATCCTTAAAGTTATTATATAATCTTATTAGGTGCCATTTTCTATTCATAATAAAACCTTAAGTACAGTATGCTTTTTATACAGCAACATACAGGACAGTACTGAGGCAGAATGCAGTTCTAGAGCACATGTGTCAGGCTCCAGTCTATGCGGGCCAAAAGACTGCAGAATTCAGAGTGTAAATGCTAATCTCAGCAGCACTTTGGCCCCAAAGGTCCTCAGTTTGACCTGCCTGTTCTAGAGTATTGTTTTAACCTGGCGAACCTATGACATCACACAACTTGTCCAATAGAATTGATCAGCCTCAACTTTAGCAGGTTTGTCCTAAAGCATGTGCCATCTTAGTAACTGAGTGGGGCTTAAGATTAGCTTCTTTTATGGAATCGAAATTGATGAAAATTAGCTGGATATGTTGAATAAAGCCCGGCTTATTGAGTTAGCAGGGAATACCATGGAATTGGAATGGAATAGAATGGAATTCATGCCTCCAAAACTGAGACAAAATTATATTGGTAAACTGGTTTATACCAATGTTTACTAAATTAGCTAGCCAATAGACACTTACAATAAAATAATAAAATATACATAGATCTTAAATTTGAATTTGAAATTTGATAGCTAGACTCTTTAAAAAGATAGTTCAAGGGGTTTTTTTTTATTAAAGAAAATGGTTCCATATAGAACCATGAACGCTCAAAGAACCCTTTGCATAATTGAAGTGTTCTTTGCATCATGAAATGGTTCTTCGGATGGATGGAGAATGTGCCGTAGATGGTTCTATAAGAAACCTTCTTAAAAAGGATTCTATCTTGGTTCTAAATAGAACCATCTACAGCACATTCTCCATCAATCTGAAGAACTGTTTAATGTTACAAAGAATGCTTCAATTATGCAAAGGGTTCATTGAGTATTCATGATTGTATTTAGAACCATTTTCTTTAATAAAGAACCTTTGAAGAACCATCTTTTTGAAGTGTGTAGGAGTAGCTAGCTAGGGAGCTGCTCTCTAAAGCTGAAGTTGAGTTTTGAAAGTGGAGATCTTGGCAGCGTTTGTGTTTAGACAGTAATAATAATGTCATTATCATTAGTCCATTTGAAAAAGAATAAAGTTGATCGCTGTTCTCGTTCGGTTTCCACTAAACTTGCCATCTCCAAGTGCTGTTGTTGTGACTGGGAGCTTTTTTTGATTGGCTTTTAGAACTAAGTCTTTTAAATTTAACCACACTTTTTTTCTAATTAGTTTATAGTCTGATATGCTCATAATTTATTTTTTCCCTATAAATTCAAGTAGCAAAGTAAAAGTATTTCATCATAAATTAACTTAAGTAAGAATAAAAGTATATTGATTCAATTTAACTCCAAACACTAATGTTATAGGGAAAAACGTACTTCTTCAAATTAATGAATTCATTTTAAGATGCACCCATTATGCTGTGGAGCAGTGGAACTGTGTTCTCTGGAGAGATGGAGCTCCATCCAATACCTTTGGGATGAGCAGTAGTGGTGTTTGTGGTCCAGAGCTAATCATACAACATCAGTACCTGACCTCACTAATGCTCTTGTGGCTGAATGCAATAAAATTCTGACAGCAACGTCTAGTGTGAAACCTTCCCAGAAGAGTACAGGCTGTTACTGCAGCAAAAAGAGGACACACTTTCTTTTAATACCCTTGATTTTGGAAGGAACGTTGGATGTGTCTACAAACCTTTAGACATATAGGGGCAGATTTACTCATATTTGCAACCATCACAAACCAACAAAAACCCACTAAAATCCATTGCAAGCCTCCATATGCATATGTTTTTCATTTAAAGGTCAAAATACTGAAAGGAGATTATTGTAATGATATAATAAAGCACTTACTGTAATTTATCTAGATAGTAAATATTGACTGTGTGCTTATATTTGGTGCTAACATGGCCACAGTTGTTTGAAAATACTTTTACTTGTTATTATTATTCTGACATATAAAGGCAAAATGCTGAAAAAATCAGAAAATGTCTGTATTTCAAACAAATCAGTTTAAATCTTAAGCCTCTATTGCATGATGTTGCCATAAGGCAACATTTACTTCAACTAAATTTTACTGAAAGGCAGTAATATAAAATCCATGTTTTACTGTTTAACTATGAAAAACAGGCATTTTATTATGAAAGCACAGATATTTGATGACATCACATGACCAGGAAATCTTGTTTGCAATCCCCTTTTCCCTGGACACTTGACACTGAGAAGGTCATAACCTGAGGGCTCCCAAAGTTGGCTATTTGTTCAATATTTAGGAAAATGTACTTCAAGAAAAAAAAATGAAATACTAACTGGAGTAAGTTATTTTTTAATTTTAATCATTGAGGCCATTTTAGATGTATTTTGGAAAATGGTCAAATGAATTTGTTGCCATATGGCAAATAAATGTGAATATGGAAGTGATGTGTGTGTATTCAAACCATTGGACTATAATTGACTCACATAGAACTAGGCTACTCCGAGATTTTATTTACAATTTTGATTACATTTAAAAGTGATAAAAACTTTATAACATTTTATATTTATATTTTGTAATTTCAGACAATTAATAACTGTGATGCATTTTAAGGATTTTAAATTACACCACTGAAAATGAGTTTTTAACAGTTTTCAGGTTTTAACAGAAGGAATTGCGAAATGCCACCCATATTATATGTCGGTCCGCTTTTGTGTACATTTCTGGTCAATATAAACATGCTGATGTTGTCATTTGTATCTTATACAGTTGTGACTGTGTTGAGTTGCATGCAAGTTCGTAGCCACCCCCACCAGCACAAAGTGTAAGAATACTGTTGTTAATTAGCACCTCATTGATTAAATTTGTCTCAAAGTGTAAATCACTTGTTTTGCATTATCAATGTATTTGAATAACCACGCCCACCCCTAATTAATGCAATAGTGAAATCTCCTACCAGTCTTGGGGTCCACTGAGAAGTACGGCTGTCCATGTAGAATACTGTAGACAATCCGGGCACTGTTTCCATACGTTGGATCATCTGCATCTGTGGCTGTGACTTGCATAACATATGTGCCTGTTCCAACACAGATACAAATGGGAATTCACTTGAAAAGCATGTCCATATACTGTAGGCTGGACTACATGAGTCACACTTCAAAGACATACTGCATCTTTATAACTCCTAAAGACAACATGCATATGGTGTTTCTTTTCAACATCTGTGTGATGATCACGACTGAACCGTTCCAAAACCAATCAGCCGGTGAAGACTTGAAAGTGATGTGCTAGAGAAAAAAAAAAATGCATAATTCACAAAAAAACTGCAGAGGATAAATTCTTATGAGTGGATAATTTATTTAAGCAGCATTAATATCTTATAGAACAAAATTCCCTCACTGTCAGTATCCATAAATATTTGTTGCTTGAATTAAACAACTTCATTATATCAAACAGAATATCTTTTTTAAACTAGCCTAGCATCTGATCAATAAGAAATGGACTTTGGACACTAGAGACTTGCTGACTGGAGAGATGAGGAATTAGCCAGTGGCGAAGCTTTCTGTCGATTCGCTGCACTGTGTGCATGCAGAGAGAGGGTGACATCGGAGCCACATGGTTAACCAGAGTCAAACTGCAGAACCAAACACTGCAGAGTGGTCAATGGGTGCTTTACTTTAAGCAGCAGTCAATTCAGCAGCACATTCATCACTGTTTAGGAAATGACTGCACTGTGGATGTGAAAAGAGCCAGTTTGCTCCTCAGGAGAAGCTTTGTCTAGGTAATAATTGGACGATGGTAAAGCTGCCCATATCCTACATAGATTTGCATTTTATTATTTTTATTTTTTATTTATTCTCCAACATCTCTTACAATGACACTGGCTATTTTTGTTACTGTGCCTTTGAAAACGATGTAAATATGTAAATGACTTTTCTGTCTTGTATTGTTGCCTCATTCAAAAACCAGTCAGGGCTGAAACAGTCCTTACAACTTTGAGCATGAGTGGGCAGTGCTAAACTGCTGTACACTAAATAGTATAGAAATGTATCGGCATAAAAACAATCAGAAAATTTGATCTACTATAAAATTGGGTCTCATTTTAATGATCCCACTAGTGGAAATTGTCTACTTTTAGGGTTAAGGCAGCGGTCAGCAGCATGCAGCCCTGGAGCCGCAAGGTCTTTTACTGCCATGTTGCTGCTCCACAGCAAAATCAGATTTTTTGGTAAGAATAAAATTATCCTCCTTCGCAGTAAAATAAAACTCTGCTGATCGTTCTAACAGTTTTAACAATAGATGGTCTTAAACACTGGAGTTAATGTAGAACTGCTAATTCACCCTTTAAACCTGAAGTTTGGGGCACAGACTGTTGGTCACCTTAGCAATGCAATAAACTATCTTACCTAGCAAGTAGCTAAGGAAAAGGCAAAGAGAAAGATTTAAATGAACTTCAATAATTTGGAGATAAATGGACTTATTTGCATTTAGAATTACTTCAGCTGGTTTCCTGATACGTTTAATCTGCAATGAGAAACTGTCAAATACTAAAAAGTTGCTTTTTAGTAAAAAGTCAGCTTTTTGTTGTAATTTTTCCTTTTGACCTTAAACAGTGCAGCAGTTACATTCTGGCACCTCAGCCATCATTTAAGGTGGAATGGGAAATTTCGAATAAGAAGCTGATGAATAATAAGCTGACCTCTGCCTTGTAAAAAGTAAAAAATTGAAAGACATTTTACAAGAAACTATTCTACTTTTGTGGAAAGGTTTCCTGCTGGAGATGTGAGAAAAGCAGCTATAGCTGAGCTAAAGCTTAAAGCAGAGCAAAGTAAGTCTGCATTTTGGTTTATATTATATTATTTATCCTATACTAGTACATCAGCACATACTGGGACATATTTACAGCCAAGATGGTAAAATGGACATGAAATATCGTGGCTCTCCAGGTGGTTTGATTTTTGATGAAAAGGCAAAATGGCCATTCTTAACATTTAGGTTGGTGATCCCTAGGTTAAGATAAAAGACTACAGGCTGAAATGTGAGATGTTTGAGTTGAAATAAGCTTTGTTGTTTTGAAAAGTTGTGGACAGACAAGTTAGTAGATTTATCAATAATATAGTACACAGAAAATTAGAACAGCAGTTTCAGATAACTAGATAGATAGACAAAGATATCGATGGAAAAAATGTGAACTCTTATGTTTAGTAATACAATCTTCATTTGCAATAACTTAGACCAAACACTTTTTGTAGTTTTTGCAGTTTTGCTGTATTCTTCTATATATTAATCTGTTTAAGTGTATTTTTGTGGATACATGGCTAGAACGGCTTTATTAGGCCAGTTTCAGATTGAATACAGAAGCTCTGGCATCCTGCTGTAGAATTCCTTGATACAAATTTGCATTCATTGATCCCTCAGTGATTTCAAGCTGTCTAGACCTGAAGCAGCAAGGCAGGTGTGTCTCGCCTCATGCCTAAAATCAAGCAGGAAGTGGCTTTAGGGAGTAACAGCAATTTGAGCAGTGGTGAAATGTGACTTACTTTCAGGCCATACATTTCAAAACCTATTTAAAACATGAGGGGGAAAAAAAAACCCTCTATAATAATGCTAACTTCTGTTTGCATCACTGTGGGATTCTAGTTGTTTGTTAGCAATAAGCTAATGGTGATTCACATCAATGATTCAGCTAATTTTTTGGTTGTTCCAGATTAAACACAGATATTCAAAGCTTGTGAAAGAGATCCCATGTTTCACTGTGCCTGTGATAGAGCTGCCACCACTGTTTTTCATTACTAAAAACCCACTGATTATTCTGGCTTATGCCCAGTATTTTAAGGTGTTATGTATGTCTTATTTATAATATTATAATTGCCTTATGAATACAGGATTCAAAGGAAGTGTTAACAAAAATCACTCATTAGAAAACAACCCCTGCCTGAGCCCAATGCTTAACATGAAATATTAGCCCATGGCCTGAAAGCTGATATCATGTTGGGCCCAGTCAGTTTCGGGTTGGTTAGCAGAGCTCTACAATGTTTGTGAAGATACTTATAAAATTGCCCAGATGGAATGGTTTGATTTACCGTAATATTTTCATACATAAAATATAGTTTGTAGTTTAATTCAAATATAGTTTTGCACTCAAATATATGATAACTAAAAATATTTTCTCTGTTAGCAGGATGGCAATTACTTCCTTTTTTAAATTTTAATAGTTTTTATGATTTTGTTTACAAGACACACCAATCATCCGTGCCGAATTCCTTTATGTTTTATTGATCTGTAGATCCTCATAGTAAACCAAAAAAGTAAAAATGGCAAATTTTGTTGTTTAATTATGAACTGGGCTGAGCCTTGGAAATTTCCATACCCAGTTGATTCCTCTGTCATTTACTTTTTATGCTGATAATCTAATGCATCAATATCTCACTTTAACTCTTCAAGTCATAACCAGTAGGAGAGCTCACTACCAATTTCTACCTAGATACCATAAAAATATCCTGACTGTCCAATTTTGTTGTTTCAAGAATCTAAGCCTTTACAGTGGAACAAGAGTAGTGTTGTATATATATATATATATATATATATATATATATATATATATATATATATATATATATATATATGTATATATATTATTATGTAGAGTGCAAATACATTTATTTATACAAATACAATACAAATACAAGCATACATTGTAGAGTTTAAATACAAGCTTCCTTTAAATTCCATTTTTATTTCCCAGAAATCACTAGGCCTCTGAAGGCATTGAAATCCCTGAGAGTTCCACTTCGGAATTGAGAGAATGTGAAAACCAAGATGATTAACATTTCAAATATGACATATATTATAATAAATAAACTCTCTTTGTTCAAATGATGGTAATCTTTGTGTTGAGTATTGTAGAGATCCCAGATGTTCAAACACAATCAAAACCAGCCTTTCCTCCATGATAAATGAGTGACTAGAGAGAAGGCATCCTCAGTATCGATTTGTAAGCTGTGGATGACATATGGCACTGTTGGTGCTCAGTACAAAAGTTGAGGGCTTTTCAACGTAAACATGGTTTAAAAATGGTTTTAAATATGCGAAGTGGGTTGCACAGGCTAGAGAAGTGCCTTTGAGATGCAGTACACACAGCTCCATAAACAACAATGAAAAGACACGCTTGAGAGAGTTTGAAAAGGCATCGTTTGAACACTCCCTTATACTCCCTCCACCGTGTCTCACAGTTTCAATGAAGGTTTGATGTTAGTATGCTGTATTTTTTTTTCCTTTTTCAAATACAATACTGTTCACATTTTTTCCAGAATTTCCTCCACAGAATGTTATTTCAATAGTGCTGTTGTACAATAACTAGGTTTAGGTTTTTTTGGAAAGCAGTGGCTTTTTTGCGCTAACCTCTCTACAACTTTTGGTTCCCTAAAGATTTTTAATAAATTTGCAATGAATTTTACAAAGAAAAAAGAAAAGAACGTTTGGTAACACTTTCTATGAATGTCACCTTTGTAAGCATCTATAAACACATTCATAACATGTTATAATGCATTCATAAGACATTATAAACATAGCTATAAATATTTATAAAAATGCATTTTACGTTATAGCCATGTTTATTATGCATTATGAATTGTTAACATAATACATTCTAAGTACTGATCATAACAAATTATAAGAGCTCATAAGTTGTATTTGTCTGCTCTAAGTAAAGTGAAGCGTACTGTACTAAAGCCTCCTCCAGTGTTCAGAGTGAGGCTTCAGGTTGAAGTATTTACTGAAGGATTTACTGAAACACTAAAACATTCACAGTAAAGCACATTACAGGCTTCAAATGTCAGAGTTTAAACTAGTGCTGCCATCAGTGTTTTACCCAATGTGGGAAAGGTAATGTACACCACCGTTAGCTTGGTATTTGTCTTTACTTTATGCTCTCCAAGCTGGGACTGACTTCTTTGGCACTGACATTATAACATGTTATTAACACTATTTATAGTGCATTATATTAACAATTCATAATGTATAATAAACATGGCTATAAAGTGTAAATCAGTGTAATTCTTTTTTTATAAATATTTATAACCATGTGTATAATGCCTTATGAATACATTATAACATGTTATAAATGTGTTTATAGATGCTTACAAATGTGACATTCATAGAAAGTGTTACTCTTTTGAATTCTATATGGATTAAAGATTTTTAATCACGTCTAAGCCCCAAAAACACTTAAGAACCATTTATTTTGAGACTGTATATCCACAGATGTCCAGCTACAGTTCTTTAACACTTTCTTGAGGGTTCTACAGTGTGTCCTTACACTAATCTTAATAGGGCATCCACTTTTAGGAAGAACATCAGGTCAAATGCTGTAGAGTTTCCTCTACTCATAAACTCTGAACTAAAAGAAGCCAAAGTGTTTATGAATCTTTCAGTAACAATTTCAAGTCTTAAGAGAACCAACAGTTTTTCTTTTGGAGTCTGATCAAATGATTGGAATTCCGTCATGGAGAGCAGATAACCAAACCTCAAGGTAGTGATGCTTATCCCAAATCATTCAAACCGTAAAAGCCAAATTAGTCAATTGTTCCAAACTGATGCTGAGTTTAAAAACATGGGTTTTTCATACGATCGCAAAAGCAAATACTGATAACAGTATCAGTAATGTTTAACATATTCGGTGAGGACTGACCACTCATTTGGAAGCATAATGCTTTTAGTTTCACTCCTGGGCATTGCATTGTGTTGTCTATGGGCAGAATAAAAGTTAGTTTATTCAAGCCATTCAACTGTTGTTGTGAATTCGTCCTAAAAAAGTGAAATAGGGCCAAAAAGGGTCACAATGCCACAAAGTCTAACAATAAATATCTCTAATGTTATCAAGTATTATTGTAAGCAACAGAGGCACAAATCAGTCATTTCAATGTGTGTTGATGCCAAGAACTGGAACTGTTTTGAACTATTTTTACCATCCAATCCCACACCTTAACTGCCTGACCTCACTTATCCTGTTATAGAATTATGTTATATTCAATACAGAATGACGGCTATCATTATAATGCAATGATTTATACACTTGCTGGGAGAATAATGCATAAAGTAAATAAAATTGAAAGATAGATAAATAACACTTTTTTTTCACTTATCCTGTTTTTCAAAGATCTTTATCTTTTAAATATTTGACAATACAATATGCCATGAGCATGGTTCGTTAAGTAAGCCTTTATATAATACATCTTCATGCATTATTATGACTATTATTGTGATCCAGTGAAGAATGGATCACAATTTAAAAGCCATTCAAGCAGAAATACAGATGACGTCCAAGGGTACTGGCCAAAAACCTAATAGAAATCCTTTAATTGTGCGAGAAAAGATTGCTGTAGATGCTTCTCCAACACTGCAGGCCTGCCAATGAATGCTTTCGTACATTCAGCCTGTCTTTTTCGAATACAGTTTGTACAGCACCAAAGGCACAAACCATTAAGCTATTCTTTAGGAGAGGCCTTCACAATGACCATGAACGTGTAGGAGGAACAGCACTTGCAATGCAGAATGGCAGCTATCATTATAATACAACCATGATTCATACACTGGCTGGGAGAATAATGCATGAAATAAATTAATAAATAAATAAAAAGGTAGATATATAACATTTATGGATTACATCTGCTCTGAGATTACAACAATAGGATTCACAATCTTAACCTGTCTTCCGAGACCATATGTTATTTGTTACTTTTATTCTTGTGAAGCAACTCCCCCCCATGTATGCCGCTGTGTACTCACATTCATCTATATTCCATGGGCTAAGAAATAATGCTGTATTTGATCTAGGCGAGACGAGTCATTTAAAGAATGAATTTTGCAGAAGAGCCCAAAGGCGAGGCCTGCGTGAGGTTAAATCCTCATCTTACATTCATGAGATGTATTTTAGAGAGCTTTCCCACATTATCACCTTCCCTAACCACAGCCAGAGGCCGATTACGCTTACCTATGGGTGACATCTCTGGGACGCTGGCTGAGTAAGGGCCCTCCAGGAACTTGGGCTCGTTGTCGTTGATGTCCTGGACTTTGATAATAAACTCGGACTCAGGCTCCAGGGGCCTCCCTGTTAACACGTCCACGGCCTGGGCTCGCAGCGTGTAATAAGGCTTCTCCTCGCGGTCCAGGCTCCGCAAGGCATGGATGTCTCCTGTGGTCGGCTCGACGGTGAAAATGGAGCCAACTCCTTCTCCTGACAGCGTGTACTTCACCAAATTATCTCCCTTATCCAGGTCACTGTGCAGCTGCAAGGTTCGTGATAACATGACAGTTCAGTGTGAGGAAGAATCGTTTGGAACTACTGACAAAGATAAGTAGGACAAATGTAGTAAGGGAGTTCTGGCTACACTACTGAAAATAAAGGTGCCAAAAAGGGTTCTTTGGAGTGGAAGAACCACTTTTGGTTCCCTAAAGAATTCAGTGGATGGTTTCTGTAAAAGAGATGTGAAGAACCTTTTGAAAGTGTAAAGAATCTCCAAATATTGTAAGGTTTTTTTGTTTTTTTGTTTTTTTTTTTAGTTTTTTTGGTTTTTCTCTAGCCATACGGCCAAACCAAGAACCATTTAGGAACCTTTATTTTTAAGAGTATAAGGAAATGCAGATTTTTGAACAATACATGCTTTTTTTCTGATTGAAAATGCTGTTTGAAAGCAGTGAACAAAAGCTATTTTTACTGTATTAACATACCTCCATTAGCTCTATGCAAACTGCTATATGGTAATATAGGGTTTCATTTGCTGTTTACTACCACACTCAAAAAATTAACCAACATGGTTGGACTTACAAACTGAAAGTATATGGATATTAAACAAACAAAGTGTGTTGTCAATGAGTAACTGATTTACATAAAATTGACAAAAAATGAAAGTGCATTTCAACAAATGAAAACTGTTTATTTTGATCCAAATAGAACTCTTCAATTTCAATGAAACTCAAATAAACTGCACTGGCATGCTTCGATTTAGTTTCATCAAAAGTTGAACCTTACATTATTAAAAATGATGGTGCTTCAAGGGTTCTTTAGTAAAGAAAACAGTTCTATATAGAATCATGAACATTCAAAGAACCCTTTCTATGATTAAATGGTTCTTTGCATTGTACAGTGGTTTTCAGATTGATAGAAAATGTGCTGTAGATGGTTTTATATCGAACCTTTGTGGTTCTATATAAAGAGTTCTTTATTGTTACGATGCCAGGCTTGTTACAATAGAAAAATTCTTTTTGGTGCCATTCAGAACCCTTTTCAAAAAAGGTTCTATATAAAACCATGTACAGCACATTGTCCATCAATCTGAAGAACGCTTTTATGATGCAAAGAATCTTTTAATCATGGAAAGGGGTCTTTGAATGTTGATGGTTCAACTCTTGAAGAACCATTTTTTTTAAGTGTGTATGTTCAAATATCCTAGTTCACTGGTGTAGCTACAGTGAGGGCCTAGGCCAACTCATTGGAAAGCGAAGCCTTACCCAGATTCCTAAATATTGAATAAATAAATTACTTAATTAAAAAGGTCCCAGGGGCCATTTGAAAAATTTACACAAGGTAATTTGTCCTGCACTCTTATAATAGATGATGAATCCAAAGGTGCTGAGTTGAACACAGGTGCTTTTTCCACCCAAAATAAATTTACCAAAAGGGCTGATAAAGTTCTCCTTAGGTCATTACCAATTTTTGGCAAAAGCTATCACCATGGCAATGTTTCCATGGCTGCATGGAGCCACTTGTCAAGTATCATCACCATTTCTTCAGTAAGACATGGAACCACACTTTTGTTCCGTGTCAACATGTAAACACAGCATTTGCTTGCTTGACTGTTTCTGTAGATTGCAGGCTACTACTCATGTAGCTAGTAAGTGACAGTGGCTAAACAAAAAGTAAAGGTAGGTCTGTGGTTAATCAGCCAATACCTGCCATTATATGCTGTCAGTCTGGCAGTTAAATGGGAGATCAGCAATCATGTATCGTGTCTAGTTATGGTAGCTGCAATGGAGTAGGTAGTTGGTATTTGCCATTTCTCATTATAGTGGTTTTTATGGGTCATTAAATTTCTTAGCTGTACCCCCTAACCTATAAAACACACCCTCCCACCAACCTCCACAAGTACTAACATTCATTCAATCACCAAGAACTGGCGAGGCGTCAAATCCTCAAAATACACTAAATGTCCAAAGGTTTGTGGACACCTGCTTGTTCTACATTTCTTCTGAAATTAAAGGTATTAATAAGGAGTTTGCCCTCCTGTGCAGCAGTTACAGCCTCTACCATTCTGGAAAGGCTTTATATTAGATGTTGGAACATAGCTGTGAGAATCTGGTTGCATTCAGCCACAAGAGCATTGGTGAGGTCATGGTCTTATGTTGGATGATCTGGATCACTCCAGCTCATGACAAATGTATTGGACGGAGCTCCATCACTTCAGAGACTGCAGTTCTACTGCTACTCAGCCCAACATTGGAGGAAGTTTATACTGTTCTAGCTAATGTTTAGCATTGGATAAGGTGACCCTAGACTCGTGTGCAGCTGGTTCTATTCTATTAGCAATGCTTTTTTGGGAGGGTAATACAGGTGTAAACAACGGGGTGCCTGTGTCAGCAGTGGGTGCAACTTAAAGTAGCTTGAACAAATAAATAAGAGGGGTTGTCTGAATACTTTTGGACATTATAGGATATTGTGTATAACCATATATCAGAACACTGGAGGCTGCAACAGTTGAAATAACACATAATGCTTTCACATAAATGGGCCCTCTTTTGGGGAACGTTCTATTTTTGTCTATCCATCATGAAAGAGATGAAGGGTTTTCCAAATCCTCTGAAATCTGATTTAAAATGACCCTTCTTGCCCCGACTGATAAAATTCTGATCATGTGACTCCTTGTGACCTGGCTGTGGGGTGAGAAATATAAGGATTGAGGCGAATGGCCTTGGAATGATTTATTTTCTGGCCCTTTGCTTGACATCGTAACTGCTTTAAAATGCCTTTAAATGGGTGTTAAAGGATGATGTCTGCTATATCATTTACCAAATTCACTTCCACAGCAAAGAACATGGGGAAATAATGTTATTTTTGTTGTTAGTAGGTACGTTTATTGGTTGGGTATTACACTCAGCCAAAAATCTAATTGGGAGTTAAGTCTAAAGTCGTATAACATTCAGATTATGGAGACAGATTACGCCTAGTCTCGGATTAAAGATTAAATGTGGCATAAGTAAAACCTCTGAATGAATAGGTAGTGCTGAATTCATGTTTTTCCTGAATCCTTTTAGCGGAAGGGAAGATGCTATTTCTGCAATGTGGCAAATGGATGCAAATTGGTTGACTTTAGCTAGCTCGCAATGAATGGAGTGCACTAAATCCCAGCACTGTAGGCAACACCTCCACAGTGTCGAAGCATGTCTTGGTAGAAATGAAGCTTCCTAAGTCCATCTGTAGAAACTGCGTTTCCTCTATCAGCATGTAAGCCTTGTCAAGTTAATTAAAAAATCCCATTAGACGAGGTACTACAGGCCATCGAATGAAAGAATTCATTACTTAGCTGGGGTCATGGGGCTGGCTTTAAGGTAGCAGATAATCCGTGAGCCATAATAGAGGGATAAAAAAAGGCTCCGCGTCCAGCCTTATTCATATGCTTAATCTTTTATAGAGAATGTCAATGGGGGCTATAAATTAAGAGTGGACCTCTTTCAATCTCTAGGCTCGCTGCTAAAGATGTCAACCGCCAATAAATCTACGCGAGTTTAAGTTACAGTGTGGCATCGGATTGTGGCGGTGAGGGTAGTGGAAAAAAGAAGACTCGCTCTCAAGATGAAATTTCAATTTAAAGGTCACACACAGAACAAATTGTGACAGAGATAATCTGTCTTTACTGTAAAGGGCACAGTGCACGTTGTTGCACTTCGTATGAAAGAAGTAACGTGTTCTGTTGACAGTTAGTGCTATTTATATTCAAAAAAGTAAGCATAGAAGTATTTAGGGTAACACTTTCTATGAATGTCACCTTTGTAAGCATCTATAAACACATTTATAACATGTTATAATGTATTCATAAGGCATTATAAACATGATTATAAATATTTATAAAAAAGAATTACACTGAATTACACTTTATAGCCATGTTTATTATACATTATGAATTGTTAATATAATGCATTATAAATAGTGTTAATAATATGTTATAATGTCAGTGCCAAAGAAGTCAGTCCCAGCTTGGAGAGTGTAAAGACAAATACCAAGCTAACGGTGGTGTACATTACCTTTCCCACATTGGGTAAAACACTGACGGCAGAACTAATTTAAACTCTGACATTTGAAGCCTGTAATGTGCTTTACTGTGTATGTTTTAGTGTTTCAGTAAATCCTTCAGTAAATACTTCAACTTGAAGCCTCACTCTTCACACTGGAGGAGGCTTTAGTACAGTACGCTTCACTTCACTTAGAGCAGACAAATACCACTTATGAGCTCTTATAATTTGTTATGATCAGTACTTATAATGTATTATGTTAACAATTCATAATAAACATGGCTATAACGTATAATGCATTTTTATAAATATGTATAGCTATGTTTATAATGTCTTATGAATGCATTACAACATGCTATGAATGTGTTTATAGGTGCTTACAAAAGTGACGTTCATAGAAAGTGTTACTGTATTTAGAATACACACAGAAAAAAAAGCTACTTGTCGATGATGATTTCTAATGGCAAATGGGATAATCAGCTTCAACGATGTTGTTTTTGTCTAATGTGTCATGCTAAAAAGGGATGTAATGGAGTACAAATATTAATAATAAAGAAATAAAGGATCTGTATTCAGTTACTGATGTTGTTCCGAAAACACAATACGATGTTTGAAATAAACACCATCAATATTTGTTTATTAACCTTTTTAAACTCGGCACACAACATGTAGCAAACACTCATTTACTAAATGACACTTGATGCCATATTATGTGCATGTAATAACTGTGTACTTACACATTAACAACACATGCAACAACAAAGTAACTACTGGTGATGTATTCACTGTTGCTGTAGATGGATTAGAGTAGTGCATATTTGTATCAATTTCACTTTCTAATGATGTAATTAAACATGTATTTTCATAGTGGTAGCTGCATATTTTTACACATAATTACACGTATAATACAGTATGATTACATTTGTATGAACTGCTATTTTTCCAACAAGACATTTCTAAACATAAGAGTGGGTGTGTACCTATATTATGACAGTGTGCATCT